TTTTTTTTTTTTTTTTTTTTTTGCGTTACGCGAGAAAGAACAAAGAATAATTTCTTAAGTACGTAATTTTACCTTAGATTAGCTTAAGAAGTTAATTAATAACATATATCCACATTAAGTACATCGTTATTTTGTCCTTTCCGTATATAAATTCGTAACACAATTTGACGAAATTATACAAAATGTTACAATGTTTGGTTCGAGTAGAAATGATTGAAATATTCGATCAGATTATTTCAACGATTAACACTAGTCAACAATTGACTCTCTGGATTTGATTTTTCAATATTAATATAGTACGAACGCTTTCTTCTTTCTCCTCACTTCTCCCATTCCATTCTTCCATCTTTTTTTTTTTTTCTCTTTTTTCTTTTATCACTAACTACGCCACGTTTTACCTCGAATCTCTCTAAGTCCGATTAAGAGTTAGATTACATACATATAATAAGAATTACATTAGTAGAAACGTAGTTTCTGTAACAAGTGTATTGTCTTAAATGATATGTCTGCTAATTTTGTTGCATTCGACTTATTCACCGAACCTGTAGTCGGAATTCATATCAACAGTTTTACACCTTAAACTGAACTTATTTTTAAGACTCGAATCGCCTAGGATCTTAGTTAGTATAGTTAATTATTAGATTTCTAGGATTACGATCTCGATTTATCGCTATTCGATTTATTCCTCTTTTTCCTCCCTCTCTCTCTCCGCATTCATCCTTACCACTGGAGGCCGTTCACTCAGAGTTTATAAAATCATCAATGTGTTCCTCATCATGGTCGTAAAAGAAGTATATCCATGGGCCGTAATTATATCTGGTTAATTAGCGATTGAAAAATAAATACACGCAAAAATTTTAAACGACAAAATACTATTTTGCTTCCTCCACCATCGTCCATCAAGTATTCGATCAACGTGATAAAAATATCTCTCTTTAAACGAAACGTTCGTTCGTTCGTTCGTTCGTTGCGTGTTCATGGAACGTTTTATAGGTACTTATTGAAAATAAGGATCGATTTTACTTTTTTGCGCGATTTTTTCATTCGGAGAGATGATTTTTTCCTTTTTTTTTTTCTTTTTTTTTCTTTTTTTTTTTTTTTTCTTTAGATGGAATGGTGCCCTTGGTAATACGTCTTTCTTCTATCGATACGCAATTCTTGTCTGTAAATGAACGAATGGTGCGTGGCCGGAACGTTTATCGTTTGAACAGCGCGTTACACGTTTCTCTTCTTTTTTTTTTTTTTTCTTTTTGCCAGTGAATCAGAGGGTTGAAAGGGGTTGGAAAGGGAAAACATGGAAGAAACACAAGACACACACGCATAAAAGACACAGACGATTCTCTCGTAAGCTTGTTAAAATTCAATGAATTCTTCCCTCGAATGTCGAACGTTAAACAAAAGTTTTTCGTCGTTTCTCTAGATCTTTCGCATTCATATCTTCCATGCTATCTGTTACGCACGCCATTTATAATAATGTAACGTTACAACAT